AATTAATATTTAACTTCCAATATTCAATTAAAAAATTTCTCCAAATATTTTTTTTTTTTTTTTTTTGAGACAAAGTCTTGCTCTGTCGCCGGCTGGAATGAGTGGTGCAATCTCTGCTCACTGCAACCTCTGCCTCCTGGGTTCCAGCAATTCTCCTTCCTCAGCCTCCCAAATAGCTGGGATTACAGGCACGTGCCACCATTCCCACATACTTTTCTGTATTTTTTTTTTAAAGACAGGGTTTCACCAAGTTGGTCAGGCTGGTCTTGAACTCCCGACTTCAGGTGATCTGTGCCCACTTTGGCCTCCAAAGTGCTCGGATTACAGGAATGAGCCACCACGCCCGGCCTATTTTTTAAAAAAATTTTTTAGTAGAGATGGGGTTTCACCATCCTGGCCAGGCTGGTCTCGAACTCCTGACCTCGCGATCTGCCCGCCCTGACTTCCCAAAGTGCTGGATTACAGGTGCAAACCACTGCACCAGGCCAAACTAATAAATATCTTTAAATTCATCTTGCGCTACAGGTTTTCCTGCCTTTTTCCCTTAAAAAAAAAATTTTTTTTTCTTAAAACATTTGTCCTGTAGAGTTTCAGTGTGGATTTTTGCTACTTGCACTCCTGTGATTTAAAAATGTTCTGCTATATCTTAAGTTTCTAATAAACTGCTCGTCAGATCTAGGAACTTGATGAGAGTCTAGAATCTTAGTAAACCATGTAGTTCAATTATTTTAACTAGAATATCTAGTTATCTCTGTTTTTGTAATGTTCAAATTGATCAGTGAATTCGAGTGTGGTTAGCCTGATCCATGAATTAAATACTTCTCCATAGGCATTTTACTTAATGGTTTTAACCATTAAGATAGCCATTGAAGAGGTCTAGTTTTATTTCATGAGCTGCTATAAATGTTAACATTTTATTTCTATCAGACCTTCTGCACTGTGAAACTGGACTTACTCTGTAATGAGGAAATCTCTCTCACAACCATTTAGTTACCCCAAGCTATAAATCATATAAGGTAGGATACTTGATTCTGTCTTTACTGTTCTCAGGCCCCACAAGGCTCATAATCGGCTCTCCATAGCTTATACTGTTAAAAAAAATCTGACATTTCTGCTCCAGACAGATGCATTCTCTACCTACTCACAGTGCACTTCTGCTTCTTTAAACTATTACAAGGTTTAGAGTGTACATCATAAAATGTGATGTCTGGCTATGCAGTCTACATTTCTTCACAAGGTAGTTGGGGACCTGTTACAACAATGTAAGCTCTGAAAGGTGACATACCTTCTACAGTGTCATCCTGTTTGGGGGGGATAGAAAACAGCCCTGGTGAAACTAAACTATCATTTATTTTTAAATGCAGGTACAATTATTAAAAAAAATCAATGGGAAATGGCTTTTTAAAAACATACAACTGCAATATCAATAGTGGTTTTGGAGCGAGGGCTCTAGAACAGGTGTATGGGTGGAATTTGGGTTTGAAAACAACTAAGGTGGCCCTGGATTGTCCTCACTACATGTCTGTAATTATTATAGGGAAATGTATTCCTTTTACAATGTGAATTCCATAATGTGGAGTTGGTTTTTTGTTGCTATTGTTTTATCTTCTGTATATCCCCAGCACCAGGCATATAGTTGGTATCTGAGGCATCTGTTAAATAAATAAAATGAATATATGAATTTATCTGGAACTTACTCTGTATAAGCTTCATTCACTACAAAAGGAAATGAATGTCAGATAGGATTTTTATTCTGGTTATTCGCCTAAACTCTTGTTAAAAAGAATGTAAATTTGTTTATAAAACAGGAAAATATATTTTAATTTGCTTACATATGTTTTCAGAATTTAGTCAGCTCTGCCATCTATTATGGTAACATTAAGTCAGTGTTACTACTATGAGTGAAACTAGCCTATGTCCTGTATCTATCTATATAATACTTCTGTTTAACAAGGGCTTTAAGATATACTATGTGCAGAATATTAAGACAGCAATCTCTGAATCTTAATACCTTTTTGGTAGTTATGTTCTCAGTGAGATAAAACACCCATAATTGTTTATTATTCAACCAAAGAGCAGTTAAGGGATTTTTCATGTGTAACAGAAAACACAGCATTACGACTACATAAATGATCTAAACTGTCAATGTCTGTGGAGTTTGCAGTCCTTAATTTACTTGAATTTTCTGTGAAATATCACAGTTTGGCTTTCTGCGAACTCCTGACTTCCATGATAAAATATTCTCAATTACATTATAATGAAACTAATGAAATTTGTAAACCTGATTGGAAGAAAATAATATATTTTCTGCAAGTGTTGTTTGATATCTAGTAAGAAGAAAGAACTAAGAATTTATCATTAAAAACAACACAGGATTTGTATCTTAGGTTTGTTCATATTTGCTATAACTAAAAGACTAAAGTTATACTATTGGGTGTCAATGGTATGCCTTAAAAGGACCCTATTCACAAATTTATTGGCCAAAAATCCTGTGTAGGCACCATTCCATTACATTTGAACAAAACAGCACTTTTAAAGAAAGGTAACTGTAAAACAGAAATTTAACCAAAAAAAAGTATATATATATATATAAATTTTCAACCTGAGATAAGAAAATGCACTATATTCCATGTAGAACTACTAATATTTCTCTTAATTCCAATGACACTCCCAGCGTATGTGTAGCAGATAATACAAAATTAAACTGTAAATCACCTAGAATATTATCAACTACAATTGTCATCTCCAAGATCTCAGGCAACAAACATAACCAGAAGAACTCCTAAATTACAATAATATATACTATTTGAAGTGTTTCATACTTCTCTTTCCTTAGATTGTTTAATCACTTTTCGGCCAGGTCTCAAAAGTGAAGTAGGTCACTAATGTTTTTCTCACCTACTCACATTTTGATTCTCTTTTTTTGAGACAGAATTTCAACTATTTTGTCCAAACAGGTCTCAAACAACTGGATTCCAGTGACCCTCCCACCTCAGCCTCCAGAGTACCTGGGATTATAGGTGCAAACCACTGCACTTAGCTCACATTGATTTTTTTGGGGGGATGGTGGAGGGACAGTCTCACTCTGTTGCCGAGGCTGGAGTGCAGTGGTGCAATCACGGCTCACTAAAGCCTCAAAGTCCTGGGCTCATGAGATCCTCCCTCCTTAGCTGGGACTACAGGCATGTACCACCACACCCAGCTAATTACATTTTGATTCTTAAACACTTCATGGAACATCTTTCCTGTTTTCCTTTGGGGCAATGACCTAACTATACAATTATTTTGCTCTCCCCATGGCGCCCAACAGTGATAACCTAACAAAAACACTTAATGAACTTAGACAATCTTAGAGACAATTTTCAAATTTTTGCTTAATTATCTAGACATCAGTGGCACCAACAGCTCTTCAGAGTTTATGACAGTGGTCTTAATTCTCCTTTTGGGTATTCCCAGTCTGGCCTAATTTATTTTTGAAGATGTTTGTTCTATTTACCTTTTGTTGTAGACATTACAGAGGGGATTATTCAGTGGGAAAGGAAATTAATAGCACCTTCTTTGTCAGCTTTACCATGGAGAGGGTGGAGTGTAATAAACAATTGGGAAAGCTGTCTATGAGGAAATCTCAGCCTTTTTGGTGCTTTGTGCTTATACACTTACGAGCTAATCTGTGCAGGTGCCTCTGGCAGGAAATCTTTGGAGACCACTCCACAAGACACAAAGTCTTGAGTGCACCCTTGTCCCCGTCTTGCCTACCTGCCAAAAGGTTATTTTAAAATAGCTTGTAAACAAAGCTTATCTATGTAAGATTAGCAATCAGGAACTTTGAAGTATGAAGCAAAACTGTGTTCTCCAAGAATTTTTTCCATATGGTGGATCCTATATACCATAACAACGTCTCCACTTCCAATTGAGGATGGCATTTATTAAAATGTCATTACCATAACCCAGCTTTCCTTTGGTTTAGTATGTATTGAGAAGAGCACTCAAACTACTGCCTTATTACTTTCCATCAGTGGCTTTTTGCAACTACAAATTACTTATATGCTTGACAGTAGACCTTTAACAAAAAAGTTAATTGCACCAAGTAAATGTCAATAATACTAAGATCAGAAAGCTGTATTTTTGATTAGGCAAATTCATCTTGTAAGAAACTGTCAACAAGGAAAATATTCAGTTGGTAATTTTCAGTCAGTCGGTGTGTAGAGAAATGTCATTAGCAGACTCATTTTTAAAATTGGAGATCAGACAGAAATATAGCTATGGGACTAAAACACAACAACTAGTGGCAGTATTTTCTCCTGTAACTTAGGAAACAGTTAACCTCTCAAAGTACCTTTACACCCAGTAACTCAAAAATGCTACTACTATTTGGGCAATAGTATTACTTTAAAATAGTAATTTACTTTAAAAGTACAAGATATAAAGTATGAATAGTTTATCTGTATAGGACATTGAGCATTTCTGACATGCTTATCCACTTAAAGTTTAATAAATTACAAGCAGAACTTGTTATGCTTTGAAGTGCAGATTAACAACTGTTGATTCTTCATAAAAATGTTAGAGTGTAGTGGGTTGATTAGCTTGGTTAGGTGAATGGAATGTTTTGAAAAATAAATTATAGTGCAATTAGCCTGTTATGATTAATTTATCCATAAACCAAGATTTGACATAGTACCCCAGAGGTTTTCATTATTTAAGAAAGCAGGTACTCAATAATTTAAGCCCTGAATTTACTATGCTTTGCTATTAAAAAAAGCAAACTTCAAGAGCCAACTTTCAACTATTTTCTGCATCTTAAGATTCAAGATAAGGTTCTTCACCACCCTTTCCACAATGAGGCTGCTCCATTCTGATGAGATCAGATTAAGGTTATTCTCAAGGCGAAACCAAACCCAATCAAGGTACATATATTAGATCACTTTTGAATAACAAAAGCATCAAACTCCTGAAGGGTTTGGTTGGTTTAAAGAAATGGCTTATTTTTTTTTTTTTCCAACAGAGCATCGGAAAACCACAAAAAATTGTGATTACATTATATTCAAAACTACCCATTATGTACAAATCAAATACAGATTGGTTTTCAAAGAAAAGTACTAAAACTGACCACCTATTTCCCTCAGTGAAAATAAAATGTAAAAATACAAGTATCTTATTTTCCACACAGACTTCAGGGTATTTAGAACATCGAGTATTTTCATTAGTTATCCAAACTACCTTCTTCTCTATGCAACGATATTTTCCTATTAGGAGTAGCGGTCACTCAGGAATCAAAACGAGTGTTAGTAGATTTTAAACTCAAATCTAGAAACCACACTTTTAACTCCTAGTCCTCTTCTCCCATACAGAAACTCAAAGATGTATTTAGTACCACATAACATTAGAATCAAAGGCCATAAAAACCAAAAACCAACCCACCACACAGCAGAATCTGAGCCCCGAGGTTAAACTAAAAAGAAAAAAGAAAAAACAAAACCATTCACAGCACACTGTACATAAAATTTATTTGTTTGCCTCATACATTAAAAAATCGGAACGGTGCAATTAACTACATATAAATTCAATCTTCTCATTCGAGGAGCTGCAAAGTTTAAAAAAAAAACTTTAAATTGCTTTGAGTTTACATTTTTAAAGACACGCTCAGATTTACTGAGAGCATATCAGAAACCAGATCTAAAATGTTAAGGCATAAAGTTTAATTATCAGGTCTACTTCTTCTGCCCCTATAAATGCTAGTTCTGCAGATCGCTCATTCCACTCCAACCTACAGCTAAAGAAGGAAGTAGAACAGGTACACACTAAATCTGGCATTAACTGCTGAAATAAGCGTTAGAATTTTTCAGGGTGAAAAAGTTATCTGCATCAATTAGCTTACACAATTCCACTCCTTCCTTCAAGTGAAGGAATCCAATGGCTTCGCTCTTCCCCAGCCTTTAAAATGCATCGCAATCCACCCGACTCCCCGCAATTCCTTTTTCTAAGAAAATGTGAAACTAACGGTTTCCGTGGTGGACGCGCCGACCGGGCGCCGAGGCTTCGCCGGCTGTCCCCAGGCAGCGCCCCGGAAAACAAAGGGGATTCCCAGCCATTGTCCTCCGCGGCGCTGAGCATCACCAGCACTAGCAAGGCAGTAGCTTGCGCAGTTATCTCCACAGCGGGCAATGTCACAACCCGACCAACAGCACAAACTACTACCTCAGCCAGGGCCATGGTGTCGGGGAGGCAGGGGACCACGCGGAGGGCAGCGAAGCGGCTCTGGCGCTCCTCGGTCCTTCCTCGCCGCCGACGTCGGCTCGCAGCCCCTTCTTTTCCTTTCCCTTCCCCGTCGCGCCACGCCGCGCCCGGAGACCCCGCCCAGCGCAGCGCGGCTCGCCAGTTCCCGGCGCGAAGCGAGAGCTACGGCGATTAGAGGCGACGCCGGGACCCGGGTGTTAGAACCGGCGTTCCCTACGTCAGCCACCGCTCTGAAGAGAAAAAGGCGGTGGTGTCTTGCGGAGAAAGCCGCTCCCTCCAGTGCCCCGAGGAGAACGCGTCGCCTCAGCCGCTCGAAAGCAGAAGATGGGCGGCAAAAGCGCAGTGAGACACCAACTGGTTTTGGACGGCCCCCGAGAGGCAGCGAGCAGCGCTCCCGCACTTCGTCCGCCAGGAGCTGCCGCCACGTCCCGAGCTGCGCGCCCCTCCCTGCTCCAAGCCCGCGGTGGGGGCTGGGCTACGGCCGAGCCCGGCACCAGGGCCCCCACCCGCGCCGTGCTGCCGCACCCGCCGCCGGCCCGCTCTCCGCGCGGACGAACGTCGGGACACATCCCGCTAAGGCGGCCGCCGGCCCCGTGAAATAGTAGCCAAGGCATAGCCGGGAAGTCCCCAGGCCACCCGTTCCCCGGCACCCTTCGGGGAAATCCCGTTCAGCTCTGTAGGAGGCGAAAACAGAACAAACGAAAACCCCTCAACACTGAAACCGGGCCCGGCGGTGGCCCGGGTGGCGACGGCGGCGACTCGACGCGCGCGGACAGACGACCAGTCTCGCGCTCTGCTGCTCCTGTGCGTCCGGACGAACCTTAGAGATCACTTAAGGAGGCTCGCGCGCTACTCCTCACCACGTGACCACCCCGCCAGGCCGCCCCCCCGCGTCGCCATCTTACATCCGGGACAGAGGCGGCGTCCCTTTTCCCCGCCTTGGCAAGCTTCGACGTGCCACCAGAAGTCGGCCCCGAAAGGGAGACCCCGATTCCACGTCACCGGAGCGTGGGGCCGCAGTCCATGGCCTCCATCGGCTCGGCGGTGGAAACTGGATCCCAAACTTTTTTCGGCCTTTGCCTGCAAAGAAGATGGCGGCGCTTACCGCCGCCTTACCCGACACGTTGTACCCTGGCTGGGGTTTGAAGTCTCCGGCACCCCCTTTCTCATCCAGCAAGGACACAACCGTACGCGCCCCACCCGCTCGGCGTGGCCGCTGTGTTACCTTCTGCAGAAAACAGGCGGGAAAGCTGCGGCACAGCTCGCTTTAAACGCAAACTCCTGGGACTTACGGTTTTGGCTTTTTCTTTTTAAGCCAAGTTAGGGAGAAGGTGACTGCTACAGAGCCTCTTCTGCTTTTGGCCCAGACCACTTACGGGACTTTGGCCCCCCTCCTACTAAGAGATTTTTTTGTAGGAAGTTAGCAAATGATTTTAAAGAAAAAGTTAGGGCTTGTAAGATACAATACAGGACGCCCAGTTAAATTGGAATTTCAGATAACCAGTTTTTTTGGCATATGTTACATATATTTTTTAAATTGTTTATCTGATATTCCGATTTAACTGTGCATTCTCTATTTTTAATGACTACATCTGCCACCCCCCATTAGCCTTACTCCTGAAAACCCAGACTGCTCATGCCAAAATAATGAATGGAGGAAAATGAAAAGTATGTTAGAAAAGCAACTTACATAAAGTTACAAAAGTTATCTTTGCCCAGACTTTGATCCCTTCATGGAGGCCAGAGGGCCATGGTCTAGAACAAAATTTGGCAGCAACGCATAAGGATATCCTTGCATAATTCCCTTTTTGGCAAAATAATATTTTTTTTTTTCCCTTAAGCCATCACGATGTAATTTTGGGCTTTTTGTTTCTATAGGCGATGAGATCCTAACAGTTTCTTAAAGTTTTCTTTTTTTTGAGACGGAGTTTTGCTCTTGTTACCCAGGCTGGAGTGCAATGGCGCGATCTCGGCTCACCGCAACCTCCGCCTCCTGGGTTCAGGCAATTCTCCTGCCTCAGCCTCCTTAGTAGCTGGGATTACAGGCACGCGCCACCGTGCCCAGCTAATTTTTTGTATTTTTAGTAGAGACTGGGTTTCACCATGTTGACCAGGATGGTCTCGATCTCTTGACCCCGTGATCCACCCGCCTCGGCATCCTAAAGTGCTGGGATTACAGGCTTGAGTCACCGCGCCCGGCCAAAGTACAAGTTTTCTTTTTTTAAATCATTTTTCTTCTTTACCCCACTGGTACCATTTTACTGTATTAAAAGTACAAGTTTCCAAGTTAAAAATCAGCCTGCCTAACACTTCATAACAATATTTTTACTTGCATATTCAGAAAGTAAAATATATTTGGTTATGTCCACTAACTGACAGATAATGTTTGTTAGGCTAATTTAAGCCTTCTAAAGCAACTACTGAAGGTACTTTGGAAAATCCAATCAGAACAATTTCCAATTAAGAATATTTATTTATGTGAACATAATACATTTGCAATTAACTGCTTTACTTGACAAAGCAGAAAGTCACCTATCAATCACTTACCAGAAAGTCTATAGAAAGTTCATACCATCTTTCTTTGATTGGGCTGCCATGGACATCAACCCTCACTGCTAATTCACTGCACAGTGGATCAAATTATTCTGCACCAAAGCAAATACCTTTTGCCATAATGGCACAGATTTTTAAATGGCCATTAAACAGCTGTTTGGTCTATGGTATACAGATTTGTTAGAGCAGTAAAGTTTCCCACTAAATTTAGCCATTACGCTACTTTATCACTTAGATTTCGTTCCATAATCTGTTTTTAACACTGCCAACACCAGTATACTCATCATCCACATATAATGTATTGTTAACATCAACATTTTCTCCTCCCCTCATATCAGGAATCTTAAGTATCCTTTCTGAGTATTACCACCGTCAGTGACTCAATCCTTTATCATCAACTCATAGCAAGAACATTGCAACAGCTTCCTAGCTTAGCTTTCCATACTGTATATACCCTATCCTGCTCATGATTGCAAGTTTATCTTCCTTGGTTTCATAATTTATTCTTAAATCACTCCAACCCCTGCTATCTCAAATCTAAAATACTCTCTCCTTGGCTTTCAAGGAATTTTATGAAGGGACTCCTTCACAGTTAACCTTGTTTCACACCACACACCATAATGTACTGTTTTCTATTTCACAAATCAGCCTTGCTCACATTATCTTTGCCTGAAATCCGCCCCCTAAATCCTTTGAACTCATCTAAAATCTAGGTAGCCATCAAGACTCACTTTAAGTTCTATCTTCACCACTGAGCTTTTTCATTTCTTTAAAAAAACGTCCTCTGAATACTAACAGTAATATTAACCTGAACCATAGAAGACTAAGTTGTTTCCCTATTTTATGATCCCATTTTGATTTGTACTTATCTTTTACTCTACTCTACATACTTGTTAAAAGGTCTGTATTTCCTATAAAGCTGTAAACTCCATAAGGGCAGACTAACCCAATGCCTAACACAAAATAGGGTCTAAAAAGTTGTTAATGATACACCAGTACTTAATTGTATAGTCTTATATCCAGTATTATTTTATATACTTGGTTTCCTTGACTAGCTATAAGCACTGGAGAGCTCCAAATAGCTTCTGTCACAAACAGCAAGGACACGGTGTTATTGGCACAGAGTAGATTCTTAATATTCAGCAGTTGTCCAGTAAAAGGCAAAAAATTGGTCTCTATTATGGGAAGACGTGGATTTTCTCGCCATGACTGAATGATGTGTGCCCAATGTATTTTACTTCCCTAACTACCTAGTGGTGATGATGCTCCAGGCACAGGGCTTAACAACACATTCCATTTCTAATTCTAGTAGACAACTCTATGTATTAAATACCATTATTAACTCCATTTCACAGAGGACACAAAAACAGATTAATTAACTTGCCCAAGGTCACACATTTAGTAACTAACAGAGTTGGGATTTGAATCTAAAAAGTCTGGCCCCAGACTCTAGCCTCTTAACCACTACGGTGTTATTTATAACATATCTTCTTAAAACATGCAACATATGCTTTAAACAGATAAAATGTTTTAAACCTGGACGAATAATAAAAACTCAATGCAACTTTCAAGGTCATCATTATTAAGATGAATCTTTTTTTTCACACTATTTGAAATTATTATGTTCAAGTATGTTTGTCCCAATGCCTATCATAGAAACAGTAATCGCCTCGAGTATTTTTAGTTTATAAGTCTTGCATTTTAATGGACTGTAAAACATGAAACTATTGTAATGTAGTAGAAAGAACTGCTTTTGAAAAACCAAGACATAGTGGTCCACGTCAGCTTAAGGTGTGTGACTCTAGGCAATTCACTTCAACCCCTAATCTTTGACTTCTGTAAATGAGAATAACAACTTATTTGCAAGACTACTTTGAGGATTAAAGCTCTGGCCTCCACATACTAGGTACTCCAGAAATGGTGGTTAAAATTAGGAATTAGAGAAATTATTTTAACTATGCCTGACTGCAGTACACAGAGAAATGTAGAAATTCTTGTTTTATCCCTTCATTATGTAACTCAAAAAAAAAAGGAATTTTAAAGCAAATTATTTTCTTTGAGAGGCAGACAGATAGTCTGGCATTGATATGGACAGGCAGTTTCAAAACAGCCTCACCAAATTAAAAAAGAAATGCTCATTAGATTAAAATAATCAAATCTACATCAAGATTACTTTTTTACTTGACCTAGCATTTTTACTCAAGGTTCCAAATCTTTCTTTCTAAACTATTGGACACACTTCTTGTCTTCTGCTGATTGTTTCATTTTTTCCATTTTATATATTAATGGCTTTAATAAAGCTCAAGAACATATCCCCTTTATTCTATAATTTTTCCCCCAAACTGACCATCCTAAACATATGTGAATTACTACTTATAAAGTCTTTAAACAGAGTAAGTGATGTGGGGTGTCCATAATGTTTCAGACCTAATGGTGTTGAGAAAGCAAACACAAAGTATAGTCAAGAAAATAAATCACTTGTCAGATCTAAAGGTAAATGATCAAAGTGGTTATGATTTTAAGTTATAAAGAAATACTAGTATTACTGGAATATAATTACAAACCTGGAATCATGCTTAACGGTGACTGTAAAGCAAATAAATGATCTATACAATCACAATTACAACTATATAGCTTTCACGAAAAATGTATCCTAGACTACAAAGAAAATTTGGGTTTGAGGCTAATAGACTTTCATGATTGTAATACATAACTGATACATCTCAACAACATAATTGTAAGGAGAAAGAGTAACAACAGTGTGTTACTTTCAAGAATTGTGTTGGGAACTAAAAAAGAATCTCACAAAATTAGATAAATATATCCAGTCTGACATAAACACCATATGGTAGCTGCCTTAAGAGACAGGAGTTGTATGTTATATGTTAAATTATGACACAGAGGTAGTAGTAAGAGATGGAAAGCAAATGAAATTTGCACAGTTGGGTCTGAAGCCTAATATTTTATTTTTCTAGATAAAAATAAAATTGCAATATTATAGCTATGGAGTTTTTTTCTCCCATCTAGTAAAACTTCATAAAATGAAGCAGTTGTTAATATAGTGGAATGATTTTTCAAATAATGACATGGTTTAGCAGATCTTCCCTGGCTGCACTATTTATTTAATTTTAGTTTAAAATAAAATTTAGCGTAACTACATTCACAGCAACTAAAAATGGTCTCAAATATAATCATCTCATACTTGACGGGCTAGAATCAATACCACAGTATAATCAGGAATGTTTCAACTGACGTTTGGATGAACTGTAAGTACCAAGCACACAGATAACAAATACACCCTACAAAGACTCAGATATCAGAACTATAAGATTCTAGGTCCTCCATCAAATACTGCTTTGCAACAGAAAAATGAATATAGTTGAAATACATGGGCAATAAGCTGCCTCAAATCCTTCCTGTAAGTAGGCAGTGTTAATATTACAAATTAATAAATATTAAGATGGCATAAATCTAAAATAGTTTAAAGCATCTGCTTCAGAAAACAAAGATCTCCCCCACCCTCAAAATCATAAAAAAAAAATCCTAATTAAAAAATTTTCTTGGCTGGGCACAGTGGCTCACGCTTATAATCACAGCACTTTGGGAGGCCGAAGCAGGCAGATCACGAGGTCAGGAGTTCAAGACCAGTCTGACCAACATGATGAAACCCTGTTTCTACTAAAAATACAAAAATTAGCTGGGTGTGGTGGCACGCGCCTATGATCCCAGCTACTCAGGAGGCTAAGGCAGGAGAATTGCTTGAACCTGGGAGACAGAGGTTGCAGTGAGCCGAGATCATGCCACTGCACTCCAGCCTGGGCAGCAGAGAGAAACTCCGTCTCAAAAAAAAGGAAAGAAAGAAAAAAATGGAACTAGAGTTAGAATCTTGCTATGTTGTCCAGGCTAATATCAAACTCCTGGCCTCAAGTGATCTCCCACCTTGGCCTCCCAAAGTGCTGGGATTACAGGTGTGGACCACCATTCCAGCCAAAACGCTCATTTTAACAGTTTTTAAATACTTTGCTTTGAGAAAAGATGTATAATCCTCTCTATCCACATCACAAAAAATATGATTGTTACCAATTTAGATGCTGAATCCCATGTATTCATAAAGACAGTAGGAGTTATAGTCACAAATTATTATTTTTTATTTTTAGTTTTTCATGGCACTTCCAGTTTTTGGAACAAATGACTTTAACTTGTTCAGCTATTTCAAAATGGCATGGGAACTTTATCTTACAAAAACGCAACAGTGGCCAAAGGGGAAAGTATTTCTAGAATCTCATTTAATAGAAAGGCAATGAACAGTAAAGGCTCCACTTCTGATGAAGAAGGAATAGGCACAATTAGAGAAAGAGCTGAAAGAGAAGAGGCAGAGAATGAAAGGGGAATGAAAAGAGAAAAATATAGAATGAAACAGAGAATGAAAAAAGAAGTAACGTAAACATAAAATTTAACAAGGAAAAAAACATAAAAGAGGTAAGAGGGAGGGAAGAAAGTGATGTCCAAGAAAAAGGAAGAAAAGTAGTCAAACATCTCTTATGATATAGTAGGAAATTTATCAAACTTGAGTAATTACGTTAATGTCATTATAAAATCAACTCCACACTAAAATTATGCATTTTTTCTTCTAAAGAATTAGTAACTCATTGATTATCATCTTTGTTTAGAAATAAGGAAACAACGTTGAAAAGTCAACATGTCTAGAGTTAAATAAGAGGTAGAGTCTCTGTTCATCATTGCCTCAGAATTAATTGAGATGGTTGACCAAGAATATTCATATAGGACTTGCCATATGTTCTTTTAAACAGCCAACACTGTTAGAGCATTAGAAATTATTGGATTTGTAAGACATTTAACCTCTTCTGAAATGATCTGTATATAAATCAGGATACAAAGACATTCTCTCTCTGAATCTGTAAACACTTTTCATTCAAATGAAAGCACTATTCTACTATCTAGAGAGACAAAAACTTTAATTCAAGTGATCATGAAGTATTAAAAGACTTTTCCCACTTTATATAAATTGGTAAAATACTATGTGGTATGAACTCCCATTCTTTTCATAATTTTTTTAAAGCAAAATTCTCTCTAATAATGTAGATAAATACAACCCCAAAACACTAAGCATAGTAAAATGTGACACCATATACAAGATCAGCATATCCGCCAAAACGCCAAACCTAAGTGGAAATCTAATGAACATAACCGGCTGCTGGCAGTGCTTTCAGAGACCATTTTTGTCTACATCTCTGGTAGTTTTCTATGAAAAACTGTAATCCGCAATATTCTGGGCCTGCACACTGCCTCCATTCCAAGGGTGGCACAGTTAGGGGCTCCTGTAAGTGTTCTGCCTTAGCTTCACAGACTTCACCTACAGCAGTCTCTTGAAAACTTGCTTGCCCATCTGAATTATTATACATTTGGGGAGAAAATACTAGACATTATAAAATAGCTGCCCTTAATTGACACAGATGTAATAATGATCACCTCATTAATAAAGAATATAATTTTGGGTTATTTTCTAACATTGTTCCATAACTTATGCTAACTCATCCTTAGTTTCATTAACTGATGATCCTTTGGCCCAATGGTTACCTGGTAACAAATTTCCACAATAAAACAAAATACTTTTTAAAATATATTGAGATAGGACAAATAATCTAGTTATTATTGGCCTACTGTAGAAATAATTTAACTGAATATTATTCTCCAGAATAAAACATCTACACTAAATTGTTCATCTCTTTCTTCTGATGATACATACAAATTTAAGGAGTGTAACAAGAGTTGAATTGATAACCATATATGGAAAAAACAAAAAACAAGAGAGATGTTAGCTGTTAAGTGAATAAAATTCAAAGTGAAAGCAAATGAAAAGTGGTTCTCTCTAAGTCAGACTTTATGCCTTTTGTTTGTTTTGGAACCTAAAAGGCTTCTAATAAATAAACGTTACAAATGTATACAGTAAAATTGACAAAACCTTAACACTAGTTATAAAGAAATACTAAAGACATTACAAAATGATGTATTTTTTTCCCTTGGCAGTGGTAGCATTATAGGAAACTAAGAAGTAATCTATGCAAGTTAACAATTAGCTTAATTCCTTTATAATGGACAAAATGGCCAGAAAAATGCTTTATGAATCATACAATTGTTGACATATACCTGTTGTCCAGCAATATGTATAAGACAGGCACTGTCAGTGACAACAAGTGATGACGTAAGGCTTAAAACTCTTATCGGCCAGGTGTGGTGGCTTATGCCTATAATGCTGGCACTCTGGGAGGCCAAGGCGGGCAGATCACCTGAGGTCAGGAGTTCAAGACTAGCTTGGCCAACATGGTGAAAACCCATCTCTACTAAAAATACAAAATAATTAACCAGGCATGGTGGCATATGTCTGTAATCCCAGCTACTTGGGAGTCTGTGGCATGAGAATCACCTGATCCTGGGAGGTGGAGGTTACAGTGAGCCAAGATCATGCCACTGCACTCCAACCTGGGTGACAAAGCGAGACTCCATCTAAATTGAAAAAAAAAAAAAAAAACCTCATAGTATTTC